CCAAAAGGGTCTTGCCCCTATTTTGATAGCTCCGCCCCACATATACGTACGCAACCCAGGCAACGATTAGTTCTGTGAAACTAATGTTACACTGTGTCTACGGACGTGAGCGGTGCGGCACAACAAATCCCAGACAGAAAACTGCTGCCGGGTTCTATTTATGACGTGCTGACACACATTTCAAATGGTTTTCAACGGTCGTTTGATCGCGTCCAGTGTAGGCAGACTTTAGCGGTTGTAGACACGATGTTACTCACCTATTGAGAAGAAACAAAGCAACCTCGGCGTCCGATCGCAGGCCTCCGCTCCTTGAGTTCTCTCCAGCGCTGGAAAGCCGATCCGATATTTACACGGGTCCTACTTCTTGCCTTATCGTTCCGCAGACGTTTTCCTCTTTTGTTTTTTATCCTCCATCTCTATCTTTCTGTTGCTCGACTCGGCTAATGTCTGTCCCATGCACTGAACGCTGTCTCCTCCACATCACGAGTAGACACGCCCCTTACTGCTGATTGGCTACAAGTTTGTTTTGCGATTCGGCCCGAATCAGTTTTCTAAAGTGTTTTTGGAAAATCACATACCCTGCCTTTAAGTCGCACTAGCCAAATCAAGCCAGATTTTTTATTTATTTATTTACTTTAAATAAAATGTTTAAAATAAACAGGGTGTAAAAAATACATTTGGTTTCAGTAATTTAGTTTTTTTAAAGAAATTATTACTTTTATTCAGCAAGGATACATTAAATTGATCAAACGTAACAGTAAAGACATTTATATTGTTACAAAAAATGTCCAATAAATGCTGTTTTTAACCTCCTATTTATATAAAAAAAAGGATCAAATAAGAAATAAAGACTGAAATAAGACTGCTGAAAATTCAGCTTTTTCAGAGGATTCATTTAAAATAAAACATTAAAATACAAAAGTGTTATTTTAAATTGTCATAACATTTCACATCACTGTTTTTACTGTATTTTTGATAATAATAAACTTCTAAGGGACTTAATTTAAAAAAAAAAGAAAAAAAGATCTTAACACCAAACTTTTGAATGAACTTTCTCTATAAAAATCTTCTAATAAAAAAACTTTCTAATAAAAATTTCTATTAGATCTTATAATTTTTTTTATATTCATATTACTATTTTCTAAAAATTAACTCACTTAATCAGTGATCAAAGCATCAAAGGTTTTTTTTTATTATCAGGTTTCACAGGTGTAATGCGTTAATCTTAATCTCATACACATGGAGAATATTTCATATTAAATGAAACACTATGACACAGTGTGTTATTAAAGGCTTTCCTGTGTAGATTTCTGCCGTAAAGGATTTGATTTCGTCTTTTCTTCATCTGTTCCCTGATCAGTGTCAATTAAAATAAAGTCTTTGTGGGGGTTTTGTCCTATTTAATGCCTTTATTTCTCTCTCACTCGGTTGTCATGGTAACAGTCGCTGTGGCGATGTCCCACGTTCCTCACCGTTTCTCGATCCAGCTGCTTGTTGACTTTGATCTGGCCTGTGATTGGCTCGATGAAGAACTGGTTCTCTCGGTCGCCGCTGACGATGGAATACAGGATGTCGCCGTTCGCTTGGCTGTCGACGTCTTCCGCAGTCACCTAGGCAACCACGACAAATCACCAAATTATAATGTGGATCTCAAAGACACAAAAAAAGGACTGATATGAATTTCATGACCGGTTACCTTGACTACGGTGTCTCCTATGTTAGCGTCCTCGCTGATGGACACGCTGTAGGCGTCGCGGCTGAACATGGGGGCGTTGTCATTGACGTCTGTCAGGTTGATGTTCACCATGGTAACAGCACTAAGGGGCGGAGTCCCGCCATCAGTTGCTTCCACTGTAAGGAAATAATCCTTGCAGGACTCAAAGTCTAGTGGTCGAGATACAGAGATGGCACCTGTACATGGCACAAGGATAAACATGGTACAACTCAGAGTCCATATTATATAAATAAAAATAACTTATAACAATACTTTTTATATTCTGCACTTATATCATAGGCACCTTCAAACATTTAATTTGATCATATTTGGCCATCATGTGAACTTTTGATAATTTTTGGCCATCATATGTGCATTCAAACATGTTTGGCCATTACAGGCACCAGTGTTGGGGGTAAGGCATTACAAGTAAAGTGAGTTACGTAATCAGATTACTTTTTTTCTAGTTACTAGTAATCTAACACATTACTTTTAAATTTACAATGAAATATCGGAGTTACTTTTCAAAATAAGTAACGCAATTAGTTACTTTTTTATGGAGTAACGCAATATTGTAATGCATTACTTTTAAAAGTAACTTTCCCCAACACTGGCAGGCACATTCAAATATTTAATTCAATCTTTTTGTTTGCCATTATAGGCACATGAATATTTGATTTGATACATTTTGTCCATCATAGGTGCTTCTAAACATTTCTGGAACATTACAGCATTATAAGGAATATTCGGTTACACTTTATATGTCCTGTCCTTGTTACAGTGTAATTAAACATTTAAGTACTGAGTAATATTAATTAACTACATGTACTTACTATATGGTTAGGGTTTGGCTTAGGGTTACTTGCATGTAATGTTTTAATATTTTTAAATTAAATTAAATTAAAATGTTTAATTTGGTATTTAAGCGTCTGAGTTCATTCTTTTAGGCCAGGGTTCCTCAAATCTTATCCTGGAGGTCCAATGCGCTGCAGAGTTTAGCTCCAACCCTGATCAAACTCACCTACCTGTGATTTTCTAATGATCCTGAAGACATTGATTAGCTTGCTCAGGTGTGTTTGATTAGGGTTAGAGCTAAACTCTGCGGGAAAGTGGATCTCGTGGGCCAGATTTGAGGATCCCTGTTTTAGGCCATAATAGGTGCAATCAAACATTTTTGGTCATTGTAGGCACTTTCAAATTCTCAGTCCAATCATTTTTCGCCATGTATGAACATCTGATTTGAACATTTTTGGACATCAGGTACATGCAAACATGTTTGGTCATTATAGGCACATTCAAACACTCAGTTTGATAATTTTTGGCCATTATATGCATGTATAAACATCGGATTTGACTGTTTTTTGGCCATAACTGACATAAATAACATAAATATTCAATTCAATCATTTTTGCCCATTATAGGCATGTATGAATGTCTGATTTAATTATTTTGGGCCGTCACAGGTGCATTCAAACATTTTTGGTCAGGTCTGAACTTTTATGAAAATTTAAAAAAGAAAAAAGAAAAAAACAAACAAACAACGTAATTATTCCAAATTGTGTGTATATTACATTATATATTTATCATCTCATTTGAACATTTCTGTATAGTGTACATAAAAATCTCATGTTATGTATCTCACCTGTGTTGATGTTAATGGTGAAATGGCCCTGTTGGTTTCCGGATCGGATGTTGTAGTAAATATCAGCGTTGGTGCCAATATCTTTACTCGCAGCGTAAACCTGTACCACTTCCGTACCCACTGCAACATCTTCAGGAAGCGTGGCCAGATAGTCCCTCCTCTCAAACACAGGCGGGTTGTCGTTAATGTCCAAAACTGTGATCGTTATGTTCGCAAGGGAAGAGAGGCGAACTGGAACGCCTTGATCTGACGCACGGACCGTTATACGATATGAGGACTGAACCTCGCGGTCCAGCAAACGCTCCAGAACAACAATCCCGGATGATTTATCAATGGAGAAGAACCCGTCAGCCGAATCAACAAGGGAATAGACCACTTTACGATTAACACCTGCAAAATAAAACACATGCAAAATCCATTCAGTTTTAACTGCATATAAGCTACATATTAGCAGTTCTAGGCTAGTTAACTATCTTTTAGCATCTACTACTAACTAAAATTGTAAATGGTTTATGCTGTCAAAACTCAAATGCATTAATATGACATGCTCGTACCCAGATCAGGGTCTATGGCTTGTATTCGGGTCAGCAGAGCTTTAGTGGCGGTGTTCTCGTAGACACTAGCGGTGTAATGGGGCATGTTAAACATCGGTGGACTGTCATTCACATCCAAGAGAACCACCACCACCTCAGCCTCACACCACAAACCGCCGCTGTCTGTCGCTCGGGCAACCAGAGAGTATCGTGCAACCTTTTCCCGGTCCAGCGCCGCGGCTGTCTTCAGCTCGCCTACAGAACGAAAAAGAGACTTGTAAGCAAACAACAAGGCTATAAACAGGACGTTTCTTCAAACCCGACTCACAAACCTGTGTGTGGATGTATGATGAAGTCTTCTGCCCCAGAACCGAACAGGGAGAACTGGATCTGTGCGTTTGCGCCCGCGTCAGCGTCTGTAGCTTTGACCCGGAGGATTTGCTTATTTATGGTGACATCTTCAGACACGGACACTGAGTACACGGCCTGCAGACACAAACACACTCATTACAGAGCTCAGATCAGCTCCGGGCTTCAAATTCAGGTTGACTTGTGCTGTAAAGAGTCAAGAGCTTTTCTTTGCTCATATATTTTCAGTGCCAAAAATGGAGAGCGGTTTTTTAACCACCGAGGTCTGCAGGACTAATAATCAATTAAGGAACTATTTTTGACCTTTGAAGGCACATTTGAACACTTGATTCGAACATTTCTGCCCATCGTAGGTACATTCAAACATTGAATTCAGTCATTATATGTTATTTTTGGCCATCATAAGTGCATGCAAATATTTTTTTGCCATTGAAGGCACATTCAAATGTTCAATTCAATAATTTCTGGCCACCATATATACATTTGAACACTTTCCGACCTCATACAGTATATGCATGCAAGCGATTTTGACCCATCACAAGTACAAACCCGATTCCAAAAAAGTTGGGACACTGTACAAATTGTGAATAAAAACAGAATGCAATGATGTGGAAGTTTCAAATTTCTATATTTTATTCAGAATACAACATAGATGACATATCAAATGTTTAAACTGAGAAAATGTATCACTTTAAGGGAAAAATAAGTTGATTTTAAATTTCATGGTATCAACACATCTCAAAAAAGTTGGGACAAGGCCATGTTTACCACTGTGTGGCATCCCCTCTTCTTTTTATAACAGTCTGCAAAGTCTGGGGACTGAGGAGACAAGTTGCTCAAGTTTAGGAATAGGAATGTTGTCCCATTCTTGCCTAATACAGGCTTCTAGTTGCTCAACTGTCTTAGGTCTTCTTTGTCGCATCTTCCTCTTTATGATGCGCCAAATGTTTTCTATGGGTGAAAGATCTGGACTGCAGGCTGGCCATTTCAGTACCCGGATCCTTCTACGCAGCCATGATGTTGTAATTGATGCAGTATGTAGTCTGGCATTGTCATGTTGGAAAATGCAAGGTCTTCCCTGAAAGAGACGACATCTGGATGGGAGCATATGTTGTTCTAAAACTTGGATATACCTTTCAGCATTGATGGTGCCCTTCCAGATGTGTAAGCTGCCCATGCCACACGCACTCATGCAACCCCATACCATCAGAGATGCAGGCTTCTGAACGGAGCGCTGATAACAACTTGGGTTGTCCTTGTCCTCTTTAGTCCGGATGACATGGCGTCCCAGTTTTCCAAAAAGAACTTCAAATTTTGATTCGTCTGACCACAGAACAGTTTTCCACTTTGCCACAGTCCATTTTAAATGAGCCTTGGCCCAGAGAAAACGCCTGCGCTTCTGGATCATGTTTAGATATGGCTTCTTTTTTGACCTATAGAGTTTTAGCCGGCAACGGCGAATGGCACGGTGGATTGTGTTCACCGACAATGTTTTCTGGAAGTATTCCTGAGCCCATGTTGTGATTTCCATTACAGTAGCATTCCTGTATGTGATGCAGTGCCGTCTAAGGGCCCGAAGATCACGGGCATCCAGTATGGTTTTCCGGCCTTGACCCTTACGCACAGAGATTGTTCCAGATTCTCTGAATCTTTGGATGATATTATGCACTGTAGATGATAACTTCAAACTCTTTGCAATTTTTCTCTGAGAAACTCCTTTCTGATATTGCTCCACTATTTTTCGCCGCAGCATTGGGGGAATTGGTGATCCTCTGCCCATCTTGACTTCTGAGAGACACTGCCACTCTGAGAGGCTCTTTTTATACCCAATCATGTTGCCAATTGACCTAATAAGTTGCAAATTGGTCCTCCAGCTGTTCCTTATATGTACATTTAACTTTTCCGGCCTCTTATTGCTACCTGTCCCAACTTTTTTGAAATGTGTAGCTCTCATGAAATCCAAAATGAGTCAATATTTGATATTCTATTGTGAATAAAATATAAGTTTATGAGATTTGTAAATTATTCCATTCCTTTTTTACTCACAATTTGTACAGTGTCCCAAGTTTTTTTGGAATTGGGTTTGTACATTCAAAAATTCGGCCTCTTATTGCTACCTGTCCCAACTTTTTTGGAATGTGTAGCTCTCATGAAATCCAAAATGAGCCAATATTTGGCATGACATTTCAAAATGTCTCACTTTCAACATTTGATATGTTATCTATATTATATTGTGAATAACATATAAGTTTATGAGATTTGTAAATTATTCCATTCCTTTTTTACTCACAATTTGTACAGTGTCCCAACTTTTTTTGGAATTGGGTTTGTACATTCAAAAATGTGGTAATTTTTTGCCATCAAATGTGCATTCAACATTTTTTGTCTATTTTAACATTCAATTCAATCCTTTTTAGCCATCATATGCACATATGAATATCTGATCTGACATTTTTTTTGTCCATTAAAGGTGCACGCAAACATTTTTGGCCATTGTAACCACATTCAAACATTAAATTCAATCATTTTAAATCATCATATGCACATCTGACATTTTTGGCCATCACTGGTACATTTTAAATATTAAATTTAATCATTTTGGGCCCTTAAAGGCATGGAAGAACATCTCATTTGAAAATGTTTGGCCATTGTAGGTACATTCAAACATTCAACTCAATAATTTTTGTCCATTATAGAAACATTTGAACTTCTGATTTGAACGTTTCTGTCCATCATTGGTACATTCAAACATTTCTGGTCATTACAACTACATTCACATATGTTCAATTCAATCATTTTTGGGCATCATATTGAACATCTGATTTGAACAATTCTGGCAATCATAGGTGCATCATAGGAACATTCCAACATTCAATTCAATCATTTGTGTCCATTACAGGCACGTATAAACATCTGATTGAATCATTTTGGCCCAGCATGGGTGCATTCAGACATTTTTGGCCATCGTGGGCACATTTGAACATCTGATTTGAACATTTTTGGACATTCAAATGCTTTTGGCCATCATAGGCACAGTCAAACTTTCAATGCAATCTTTTTTGGCCATCATAGGCATGTCTGAATGTTTGGACCATAATAGCGGTGTTTCAAGCCTTGATTTGAATGTTTTTGGGCACATCTGAATCTTCGGTTTTGCAATCAACATGTTGCAACGCAACCATTTTTGACCATTTTAGTTCAAATGCAACTATATCCAAAAACATTTAAACATCTCATTCATGTATAAACATTTCAAATTTAATTTCCCCAAAAATTATATACTTATAATACTCAAAAATGCTATCTAGCTAGACAGTTCACTAAGTTTTGTGACTCAATCCAAATGGCCCCTGATGGCCTGATTTTCAGTTTGACCTTATTTTAAAAAGGTCATGTTTTAAGCTCAAAGATCATTTCCCCTGCACTGCTTGGCTGCTGTAAGTGTACTCACCTGTTCCAAAAATATTCCTGGCTTTGGCTTGTAATCATTCATGTTTGAGATTTGAAACTGTCCAAAATGCACTAATTAGATTTTGAACCAACTGAAAAAACAGCAGGAGAGCCAATGACTTCTGCATGTTTCCCCGAATTAACTTTAGGGTTTTAACTCACCGGGTCACAGACGGGGCTGTTGTCATTGGTGTCAATGACCATGACCTCTACGGTTGCCGTGGAAACGTGGAGTCCGTCTGTCGCCGTGACATTGATGAGGTACCGTTCTTGTTCTTCGCGGTCTAACGGTCGTTTAACGTACAGCTTCCACTCTCCCTGAACCAACCCGAGAGCAAACACCCCGCCTCTGTTACCACCTACACACACACACACAAGAAATTACAGCAGACAGTTAGTTCTTTCAATAGTCTGTGACTATTTAAGTAACAATAAAATCCACACACGCTCACTTCAAGGATTATCTGCATGTCTTAATAACCAGCATTAGTCATCTCAGTGATGGCACGCTCATTAGTATGATACTAATCAGTTCTTTATATTCACATTTAAATTATCACCACTGCCATCAGTTAGGTCCTCATTACAGCCTTCCTGATTTATCAATCGGACGGCAGCCGTACCTGACTCATTAGGACAGGTCATCTTTTAAACCTCAAGCGGATAGAGGTGAAAAGAGAGAAGAAATGAGAACGAGAGGCTGAGCGAGAGTTAAATGGAAATGACTCTTTAATCAAAGCAGCCACGTTGACAAGCATCCAATTACTGTACACTCATAGTACAAACACACGCTGCCTTATTCATCTAAAAAAGAGTGTAATTTATCTCAGCTGGGGGCTGATAACACAAAGCAGCTTCTATCAGAGACGCGTCAACAAAGGCCTGGACGTCTTCCGACTCCATTTCTCTCATCCCACGCTCTCGCTCATTGGGTTGAGGGAGTATTCAGCATGGCTTTCTCATAACTGCATGCTTTTTCTGTGCTTTATAAGCGATAGCTTGAAACCTTACATTTGATTTTCTTGCACACTATTTTTTTTTTTTACTCATGCACAGTGGCCCAAGTTTTTGTCATACACAAAGTATTTGGACACTTAAAAATTTACCCTATTTGTCTGAAATAAAATGTTCACACAGGTGTCCTAGCACAGTAATCAAAGGTGTGGTTTATCACATTCAAAATCACATGATATTTGAAATTTTTCAGTGGCATAATGCAATATACAGTACCATAAAAGTTTGGGGTCAGTACGCTTCTTTTTAAAAAAAAAAAAGAAAGTAATATTTTCATTCAGCAAATATGCATTAAATTGATTAAAAGCGACAATAAACTTGAAATGTTATAAAATATTTCCATTTCAAATAAATGCTGTTCTTTTGAACTCTCTATTTATCCAAAAATAACAAAAATCAAAATTAAGCAACACTGTTTTTAACATTGATAATAATAGGAAAAGTTTCTCGAGCAGCAAATCAGCATGATTTCTGAAGGATCATGTGACACTGAAGACTGGAGTAATGATGCTGAAAATTCAGCTTTGCATCACAGAAATAAATTACACTTTAAAATATATTCAATTAGAAAACAGTTATTTTAAATTGTAATAATATTTTACAATATTACTGTTTTTACTGTATTTTTAATCAAATAAATGCAGCCTTGGTGAGCATAAGAGACTTCTTTCAAAAACCGATAATCATTTTAAATGTATAAAGATATCCTGAAGATACATCAAACTTTTGTTAATGTATGGATGCTTGGAAAAAAAATAGAACACAAAAGAGAAAAAGAAAAACGAACCAAAAAAACTAAAATATTGTGTTTGTGGTCAGAACGAATGTGAATAGAATTGTACTGAATTGCACGACACATTAAAATGCAAAAATATATAATACACTTACACTTACTGATGGTCACATAGCACTGGAAAATAAATTTGATTTGAATTTTATTTTAAATTGTTATAGTTGGTACAGTACTTCATCTGGTCACACACAGACCTTATAGCTTTGAAAATCAACTATATACACAAATACTGTACATAAAATATATCTCTCAAAGAGCAACTTTCTTCTTGTCAAACAATTAAACTCAACTGATGTGTTTCCAACCATTTCCAGTCAGTTCTGGTCGATTAGTGTTTATGCAGTGACCTTTCACCTTTACGAGGCAGCAACATGAAGAGCTATTTAACGGCTGTTAAATTGTAGCTGTTACGGCGGGGATATTCAGCTCTACTCTTAAGCTGAGATACACAGTGCACTGGTCTAACTCATCCTTTATGAACCTTTAAATGACTTTCAGCAAAGAACCTCTAAATAAAAGTTCAAATGATCCAATTAACTACCATAGAGTAACTGCTTACGGTTTAATTGCTCTGTGCTCTGTTGAACACAGCAGTAAAATACCCTGAGAGGTGAATTTACACACAATGCTCTCGCTTCCTAAAGAGAATAAAGACGTTTGGGTAACTCAAATCTGTTAGTATATTTGTCTCTTTCTTTCCCTCCAGTGTGTATAATGATACGGTGTGCAGTTCTCTGAGCCAGTTTGTGCCGCTGGGCTGTGAGAAGTGCATTAGTGTCTGCTTGACCTTTGAGTTTGTCTTGAACTAGAGGATTTAAACGTTATGAAAGTGTGGACTGTAGGGAAGGAGACCGAGTGAGAAAAGGATAGAGCCTTGTCTCAGTAGAACACATGCCACCTAAACAAGGGCTCGTGTCACAAAGTTTACTTTAGCTTACATTCCGTGGGCTACGATTTAATTAAAGGGATAGTTCACTCATTTTTATGTATTAGACTTTCTCTCTGAAGGCTGCATTTTTTGATGCAGTTACAATCAATGGAATGAATATTTTTTACTAAAGAAAAGATATAAAAACATCATAAAAGTAGACCAAAAGTGCGCCTAACCCTAACCCACTTAAAAATGATACTTAATTTAGATATGTATTTACATATTTATCATTATATCAAACATTGAGACATATATACTTAGACTTTTTGGTATTTTATATTTCTGCTTATTCACTTTTATGTAGTTTCTTTCTTTTGGCTTTAAAATATGTATAAAGAAAAGTGAACAAAAAGTGATAAAATTACATAATAACTTATTTAAATATTTATTATTAATATTAGGATAGATAGATAATATTAAGAATTATTATTTTTTTTTTTTAGATTTTATATACATTTATATTTTTGTTATTTTAGAAATGTTAAATGTGCACCTTGAATGCAATGTAAGTCATTTTTATCCAAAGTGTCCGCTAAATGCATAAATGTATATGTAAATCAATATTTAGATATGGCAGAGAAAGACAATACTCAGAAATCAATCCTCAGCAGAACACACACCGACAATAAGCAACTAAACAAGTTCCAGTGTCACAATGTTTACTTTAGTTTCAATGCTGCAGGGCTGTAATTTAGTTAAGAGTCAGTGTGCTTGTGTGTGTGTGTGTGTGTGTGTGTTGTGCAGTGCGTGGTAAATCTTGTTAAAAATACTGCTCCTGCTGGTGGTAGCACAGTCTAAATCATGATCACAGCATAAAAGTTGAGTTTAATCGAAATTCTGTTCAGGCCGAGAAGTGTGTTTCTGTGTGTGTGTGTGTGTGTGAAAAAGCATGAATTATAGAACAAGGCAGTTCCCTAATTCAATGTTATGAGTTTCTGAGCGCCTAATTTACAAGTGTGTGCTGTTTAGGAGCATGTGCAAGGTGTGTATGTGTGTGTTTGTGTGTGCAATCTGTTCCTTGTCACCAAGCAAGGTATTCAACACTTCCTGAATATAAAGGTATATTTAAAGCTGGCTGAGCTAGATGCTGATAAGGAGGAGGTTTATATTTGCCCTTTTCTAAGACGCTATCCACCTAAACTACTGCTTTTGGAAATGTCACTGTATTATGTTCCGTTTGTGAAGTGATGCGCTTCCACATTGCAAATCCCCACCGGTGTAATTTGCATGCAGTTGCATCACAGCTTTATTAAAATCCTTATAAAAAGAGTGTGGTTTTGCACTCCAGCAAGAAGTAAGTCTGCGTCCTCCCGCAAAAATCCAGCTAGTAGCCCTTGAGCGAATAATCCACTATCAGGAGAGGATGAATGAGGTGTAATTACTGTGGACTTCTGACATTCCATAATAGCTTTGTTCTACATTATGCTTACAAGCTGAACAGGGCTTCAGAAAATCAGGCTTGTGTATGGGACATTGTCAAGCTGGAACAGAAAATGTATTCTTACTTCCATTCTACTAAAAATGTTTGTGTAAGGAGACTGCATGGTTGTCACTTATGCATGTAAATTGTTGAAGCTGAAATAACCAAAACTGTCAATTTTATGCAAAAAATGATTTGAGCTTTATGTATATATATATATATATAT